AAAAAAGGGAAAAAAAAAAAAAAAAAAAAAAAAAAAAAGGCAGCTGGTGCAGACAACACTGCGAAGAAACTATGAAGCGCAACAGAGGGAGACGTGAGAGCAGCTGCACAGCAGGAAAGCTGGGGCCGGGGAGGCTCTGTTTGCTTAAACAAATGGGAGATACCAGAACGGTAAGCTGAGGAAGCAGCTGATCTTATGGGGCAGGAGCGGCTGGTGAGTCCCTGAGTAGGTGCGAGGGGACAGGAGGCAGAGCACACAGAAAGGAACTTTGACAGGAACAGGGATTCTTCTTGCACTGTACCCCCAAAAGCAGATGGTTTAGACACTGGTGAATTTAGTGGTGGGAAGAGCAGGGCATTATTTCCCAAAGGCTCTGTTTTCCCAGTGAGGTGTTAGTCAAGATCACCTGCAGAAAGGAGCTTGAGACTGGGCAGGCAAGAGAAGAGAAGATATGGAACGGCCAAGGTGGAAGGTGGGAACTGAGTGAACCAGAGTCACACACTGATGACCCACTTGGGTTCTATGAACAGAAATACAAGGGGAAGGGACAGGCAAATCCAGCTGGGAGCAACGGCCCAGCTCCCCAGGGCTGGGTTCTGACGTGAGAACGCTGTGGTGAGGGGAGCCCAGGTGGGGAGGGGCAAGGAATTGAAGCTATTAGCAAAGAAGTTATTGGGCCGGCCAGGTGGCGCACTGCTACAGTGCGCCGCTTGGGAGCGCGGCGGCGCTCCCGCCGAGGGTTCAGATCCCACATACAGACCGGCCGCTCACTGGCTGAGCGAGGGGCGGGAGCAACACCGAGGGTTGCGATCCCGTTGCCGGTCCCGGTCCGGTATGGGCGCAACACTGAGGGTTGCGATCCGTTGCCGGTCACGAAAAAAGACAAAAAGGAAAAAAAAAAAAAAAAAAGAAGTTATTGTAATACTGGCGTGTGGTAAGGAGGTGAGTCAGGAGGCAGCTGATTGACTGGAGTTCCCACAAAGGCAGAAGGATTGTCATAGCCTGAGAGTTCTCAAGCCAATGAGCTGCAAGGTAAGATACGCGGTGGTCGGAAGCAGGTATCGGTAATTGAGACGTTAGGGTTGACACAGGGTATCTTTACTGGACGGTATTTAACAAACACATATTGAACTGAACACTTCGTTCCACTTTTCTCTGAACAGCTCTGGCACTGGCTGGTCAAATAAATGAAAGAGAACTACCAAATACTTGCCTTTATGACTCAAAACTTGGCCAAAGTGGTAGTTACATTCTTCTACCCAACTGTGTTGGCCTGAGGGAGTCAGGCCATATATTTTCCCACATCGACAACAGATCTTAGAAGCTGAAACAAAAGATGAAGTCAAATTAGTCATGATGAGATGGGAGAGAAGAGAAAAATGGACCCGAACGTGGAGACCTGCCTTTGTACTCTTGCTCCTGGAGCAAGCACATGCCCAGCATGATCGCACGTAACAGGAAAAGTAACAGGATCACTCAGAGGAGTGTTTGCCGGTGACATGCTGCTTGCACCAGGACTGCTGCCTGCCCACCTCCAGAGTCAGCCCAATGCCAGGCAACTGCGGTTTAGCACCACAGTGAGACTGTAGCCAACTTGATCAGTCATCAGCGCTAGCACATCATAGCTCCTTGAAACAGCAGCCTTGTCTTTCTTATTTTTCCCTTTCAGAGTCTCCCATAGCAACCTGTAGGTTATGCTTTTGAGAGTATATCTGGTCTTTTCACTGGCGCCCACTCATGAATATTTGGTTTTTTATCCATAACCCTCAGACTGGATCTGATGATGATGATGATGATGATAGCAATCTGAGTGCCTATCATGATCAGGTAACGAGAGGGCACTGTGCCAAGCACTTTCACGTGCATTATTTTAATGATTCTCACAACAACCTGATGAAGCAGTTACCATTATTCCCATTATTCAGAATGAAGAAACTTGGGGGTGGGAGAGTCATTTGCTTGACTTCTCCTCAGAGTCCACGTTCTTAACTGCTGAGCGTACTGCCTCCCACTGAGGGGATTTCAAAAAACAAAACAAAAACGCTACAGCAGAGGGTGAAAACAACCCCCAGAGAGACGTTCTAAAGATATGAATGATGAAGATAAATATTTTTCAGTCAGTAAGAAACATAACTGTATTTCAAACTCCAATCTCAGGCTTGACAGCTCTGTTGTTAAGCATTCTATCTCTCTCTCTCTCTCTCTCTCTCTCGTTGGAGATGAACATGTTAACTAACTGTGCCTAGTATCTGGAGAAAATGCAAAATAATAAGACTATCAATCTTTTCATAAGAATTCATAATGAAAGGCTGTGCCGTGTATATGAACAGTGGCACAGTGCAGGAGCTCAGGAGTTAGACTCCTTGGGTTCAGATCCTGGCTCTTCCACCTCTTTGGCAAGTCATTTGACCACTCTGAACCTCAGTTTCCTTATCTGTATAACTGGGCGTAATAACAGTACTGACCTGAAATAGCTGCTATGAGGTTTTAATAAAACAGATACATAAATAAAGCACCTAGATAATGGAAATGAGGTGAAATGGAAAGGGAAATAAAATGATACTCAATAACGCTTTTATCAGTGGTTTAATTATGCTGGCCACAAATTTTACTTCCATTAAGAAATATCAGAACGCTAAGATTCCTGGGGTTCTAGTGTTAGCATGTAGAAAGGGTAATTTTTGGTCTCATGTACTTACCATCATTTACAAGAGTTTTTGTCATGCCTGGGTTTAAAAGAACACTTCCTGGTTTGTCAGGCTTTGGTTGAGGGTAGTTATTTTCACGTAACTGTTCTTCAGTTAGAAGATAGTCTTTAAGATGTCTGTAGAGAATAATTCCTGTGAGCACTAAGAAAAAAAAAAGGTGCTTAATAAAATTTAAATAGCATTTTTTTCTTTTTTATGTAGTGGTAAGGTTAGAGTCTACTAACCCTTCCAGATCTCAAATGCTAGGATTCCAACTAACTTTAAGTAAGGTATTGGCCTAAAAGAATCCCAGGTCTTCATATCCATCATCCAACAACAACAAATATCAATCTTGTTCCCTGTACCACCTGACATCATGTGCTTTGGGTGAGAAAAGAGAAAGGAGGAATCATATCAGTAATTGCTAGTGCATATTGAGCACAGGACTTTGATTTAAACTTTACGTTAACCCAGAGAGACAAGTGTATTGAGATCACTTTTACAGATGAGGAAAGTGAGGCTCAGAAAAGTGAAGACACGTGACCAAAGCCACACAGCACAGTTGATACACAAACCCAAGTCTTCTGGTTCCAAATTATGCTTAGTGGCTCTTAATATTTACCCAGATGAAGATACTACGAAAGCTTACAAGCATGAACCATGAAGGGAAACATCACGATTCTCATGTGGCAAGAGTTAAAGTTCAAGGATTCCCTTCCAACATCATCACTCCAGACCCAGATTCCCTCACTCTAATGGATTATTATTATTATTTTTTTTTTTTTTTCCTTTTTGTCTTTTTTACTGACCGGTAACGGGATCGCAACCCTCGGTGTCGCGCCCGTGCTGCGCTCAGCCAGTGAGCGGGAACCGGTCACCACATGGGATCCGAACCCTCGGCGGGAGCGCTGTCGCACTCCCAAGCGGCACACTCTCCAGTGCGCCACCGGGCCGGCCCTAATGGATTATTTTTAAAGTTTCTCTGATTTCTTACTAAAAACTCTAGCAGAATTTGCTAGACAATCTTTGGCAGACCCTTTTGTAAAAGGAAAAGTTCTTTTCTGTGAGAAGTATTGAGAGATTAGAATATGTAACATATTCTAACATATATTCTAATATGTTTCAATTCTTATATATAACGCTTTATTAGAGGAGAAGCCCTACCATCTGGTTTTATTCAAAATACAACCAAATCCAAATAACTCCTTTCCTCTAGCTTCTTGCTCCTGAGAGCTTGTTATAAATTCAGGGTATGAGCCCATTCCCAGACCTTCTGAAGCAGAATCTGCATTTTAACAAGATTCCCAGATAATTCAAATGCATGTAAAGTTTGAAAGTTTGAAAAGCATTGCTCTTGCTGACTGGCTATACGTTAGCTATCAAAAAAAAAAAGCTTGAGAATGGAATCTAAATACTGCTTATGTAAAAGATCTTTTTTTCCTTCTATTTCTACTAATTTTCTAAAAGGACATCAAATATGCATAGGATACAGCTGAGCCTTCATAAACACAATTTAATAACTGCATTATAACAAATTCCTTCTCCCTAAGGTGGCAATGACAAGGGCCTATCATAATTATTATCACCGTGAGCTTACCATCTTTCTTTTCATACTTTCCAGTTGTCTTGTCATTACTGCTTCCATATTCAACTAAAAGATACAAGAACTTCTCTTGAAATAATGAATTATTTTATGTTTCATAAAAACATATAGAACATAAAAAGCTCTCTAGCACAGTAAAATATTTATTTTTACCTTAAAACAAGTACCCAACATGTGAGACCAAACATCTTCATAATCAATCAATTCCAAGTGGGAAAAAAAAAGTTAAATCTTGCAAACTACTAAAAAGGTCAGGACTTCATATTTGCTCAAGCTAACATATTTTTTTTTTTTTGTCTTTTTTCGTGTCCGGCAACGGATCGCAACCCTCAGTGTCGCGCCCGTACCGGACCGGGACCGGCAACGGGATCGCAACCCTCGGTGTTGCGCCCGCACCTCGCTCAGCCAGTGAGCGGGAACCGGTCTGTATGCGGGATCCGAACCCTCAGCGGGAGCGCCACCACGCTCCCAAGCGGCGCACTGTAGCAGTGCGCCACTGGGCCGGCCCAAGCTAACATATTTTATATGCTGGATAGAGTAGGTCTAAATTTGAGTCAGTGAGTTTTATATTATAATTTCCCACAACTGTAATAGCTTGCAAACCATTTTTGTTTTCACTGGGAATATTTACAACGTGTACTTACACATTTATGTTCTATTTCTATGTGCTGTACTTAACATAAAAAGGAGGAAAAGCCAGATTACCATGAACACAGTAACCTAACAGACCTTGCATATTTTAATACATGTACTTAAATCTATTTCAAGTACTGCATATTAAAAAATTCCATTAAGAAATCATGGCTGAAGAGTTTTTACATTCTTGAGATTGGAATAGTCTTCCTAAGGATGACACAAAACTTAGAAATCAAGAAGTAAGAGATTGATGACACTCTGAAAGTAACTTCTTTGTAATAAAAACTTCATAAATAAGGCTGAAATGTAAATGACAAACTGAAGAAAGTATTTGCAGCACATTAAAAGGGTGATATGCAAAGGCTGTCCCAGATGAATAGGCTAATTAAAAAAGGGGGGAGGAGGGATGCGAATAGGGAATTTAAAAAGAGAAAGAAAAAAGAAAGGTCTTCCACTTCACTCGTAATAATTAATAAAAAAGAAAAAAGACCAACTTCCTTTTTGCCTGACGCCTTTGCACTGAGAGAGAATAAATGAAAAAGCTTGGCAAGGCGTGAGAAACACACGTATACCCTACCTCACTGAGAGTGAATGAAAATGGACAGGCCCTCTGTGGAGGCCGTTAGCAATATGTGCCAATTTTAAGCACACACACCCTTTCTCCCAACTTCTCTGTGCACAGGAATTTATGCTAAGGATATAAATGCTCAGGTGGGAGGTAAGGTTAGAGTTCACACTTATCACAGAATTTACAATAGAAAAAATTGTAAGCACTCTAAATACCCGAATGTGTTTGGTTCATCTCTATTATAAATTCTAGAGAATGGAATATCTATAGCATAGGTTCTATACAAAAGCATATCATACAGTCATTAAAAGGTATGACGTAGATCTACATGTTAACATAGATTCTAGGTTAACTGATCAGACCTCACCTTATTCAGTGAAAAAAGCTAGACAAACAGTATGTATATTCATTAAAAATATTAAAATTACATAACCTCTGTAGTTATATATAGAAGAGTCTATATAAGAAATAAAGAAAAGAGTTGCCTAGCTGGTTTTTTTCTTAATGTTTTTGTGTATTATTTGAATTCACGCCATGCATTCTTGATGGGGTTTATACTGCCCTCACAGGAGCAAAACTGGCTCTTGAGGAATGAAAAAAATCTTGGATACTATGACAAAATCTTATCCTTTAGTCCTTAACTTTATTGGATAGAGGGCAAAGGGGAGGTGTTAGAAAAAATAATGACTAAAATGATTTCTAAGGGGGACACTAATGAAAACAAGTTTGAGAAATACTGTTCCATAGAGGTAAGTTATTTTTATAACCAGAAAACAAATTTAGGCTGGCCCATTAGCTCAGTTGGTTAGAGCGTGGCCTTGTAACACCAAGGGCAAGGGTTCATGCCAGCCAGCTGCTAAAAACAAAAAACAAATTTAAACATTTCAGTGATAACCTCTATCAATCAAGTTATATTTATACATCCAATTTCAAATATAATCTGTTATTTTCAACCAAAAGTGCCACCTGCACATTCTACTAAAGAAAATGTTTTAAAAATACATCCCATTGAAAATCTAAAAATGAATCTGCTAATGAAGAAAATACATTCAGTGTCAGGTATTAATCACAAGTTTTTATCTTATCATTTGGTTAACTGAAAAGAAATTACCTTGATTTTTCAGCTTCTTAAGAGTATTTATCGCTACATTCACATACATATGTTTACTGCCACACTTTTCATAGATGGCCTTTTCTTCTATTTTAGCCTATATCACAAATTGAATAATTAAAGAAAATATTAAGCCAAAAGTCTATAAACAGTAAACGTCATTTGCAACATAATTGGTAAGTATGGCAAAATATTTATCAAAGAATGGGGGAAAATGGTGCCACCAATAAAAAGCAACTTATTTTACATTTTGTATTTATTTTTTAAGAAAAAATAAACATAGTCCCCATGAGTCCAACCCAAGAACCTAATACTCTATCTTCATAGACAAAAAACCATTATATACTGTATGTGTGTAGGGTGCAGAGTGCAAAGCCTATATAAATTTTACAATGTACATAAATCCATTTGATTCTCAAAGCAAGTCCCATATATACAAGAGGCACATGTTGTTATTCCTATTTAAAAGATGAGAAAACCAAGCCTCAAAGTGGCTAAATAATTTGCTTAAAATTACATGGCAAGGGCAGCCCCCTCTGCCTGGAAGCAGGCAAAAGAGCATGCCCAGGGTCCTAGGCAGAAGCTGAGGACAGCACACTCTGCCCAGAAGCAGGCAAGAGAGCATGCCCAAAAAACCACTTCCACATGGGTGGCCAACCACAGCCACTGCTATAGTCATGGCTGCCATAGAAGCAGCTGGACACCACAAGAGTAGTTACAGCCACCACGCAGGCAGCCCACCAGACACTTGACTGAATTGACACAAGGAATATCATCAGAAAGAGAATGTCTCTCTCCTCAAAACCCACTCCAAAGTAATAAAAGAAGCAACTGCTCTACCAGATGACCAGACATCAACATAGAGATACCATAAATACAAAAAGTCAAGAAAGTATGACACCACCAAAAGAATACAGTAATTCTCAAATGTATGACACCACCAAAAGAGATACCATAAATACAAAAAGTCAAGAAAGTATGACACCACCAAAAGAATACAGTAATTCTCAAATACCAGGCCCTATAGAGCAAGAAACCCTTGAAATGACTGAAAAGAAATTCTAAGCAACAATCTTAAGGAAAGTCACTGAGATATGAGAAGACTCAGCGATACAACATAATGAAATGAGAAAAAAATCCAGGATATGAAGGGGGAAATTTACAAAGAGATTAATACCTTAGAAAAGAATGTAGCAGAACTCTTGGGACTGAAAGATTCACTCAATGAAATAAAAAACACAACTGAGAGCTTAAGCAGCAGGCTAGAATGAGCAGAAGAAAGAATTCCTGATCTTGAAGATAGTCTCTTTGAAATAATCCAGGCAGACAAAGGAAGGAAAAAAGAATTTTAAAGAAATGAAGAAAATCTGAGACAGCTAGCAGAAAACCTTAAGCACACAAACATTTGAAGCTTGGGTGTTCCAGAAAGGGAGAAGAATGGAAAAGGCATGGAAAACCTATTCAACAAAATAACAGAAAACTTCCCAGATATAGGGAGGCACAGACCTTCAGATCCAGGAGGCTCAAAGATCCCCAGATTCAACCCCAAAACATCCTTTCCAAGAAACATTACAGTCAAATTGGCAAAGCTCAAAGACAAAGACAGAATCTTAAAAGAAGCAAGAGAAAAGCATTAAGTAACATATAAAGGAGCCCCTATCAGACCAACAGCAGACTTCTCAACAGAAACTCTGCAAGTCAGAAGTAAATGGGATGATATATTCAAAATACTAAAAGAAAAAAACTGCCAGCAAGAATACTATCGCCAGCAAGGCTATCCTTCAGAAATGAGGGAGAAATAGTGTATTTTCCAGACAGAGAAAAACTGCGGGAGTTCAACACATATGACCAGCCCTGAAAGAAATCCTCAATGGAGTCCTGCATCTGGAATCTGATAAATGATAATCAGTACTATGAATACACAAGAAAAAACAAAGTCCACTGGTAGAACAAAAATGCAAACGAGAAAGAGAAAGAAACTTGCCACCACAAAAACCCATAATGATAGTGTAATAACGCCCCTGCTCTATTTCTGATTTTAGTAATTTCAGTCTTCTCTATCTTTTTCTTGTTCAGTCTAGATAAAGGTTTGAAAATTTTGTTGATCTTTTTAAAGAATCAACTTTTGGTTTTGTCGATATTCTCCATTGTTTTTAATTCCCTGTTTCATATATTTCTGTCGTAATCTTTATTTCCTACTTATATTTGCTTTTGGTTTAGTTTGCGCTTCTTTTTCTATTTTCTTGAGGTAGAAGTTTACATTACAGATTTGAGATTTTTCTTATTTTTAATATAGGTGTTTACAAGCGTAAATTTTCCTCTAAGTACGGCATGAGCCCTGCCTCCTATAAATTTTGATATGTTGCACTTTGATTTTTATCTCAAAGTACTTTCTAATTTCCCTATGATTTTTCTTTTTACCCACTCTTTTTTTAGGAGAATGTTGTTTAATTTCCACACACTTATGAATTTTCTAAATTTCCTTCCATTATGGTGGTCAGAGAATCACAATATTTCCTATGATCTTAATCTTTTTAAATGTATTAAGAACTGTTTTGTGGCCCAAAATTTTTTTAATTGCATATTATATAATGAATTTATTGTGCACCTAGTATGTGCAGGTTTAATATACACATGTTAATGTTTTCATATTTAATCTTCATTGCAAGTATATAAGGATGGGTGCCACTATCACCAATTTATATGAGGAAACTGAGGCTCAAGAAATGTAAATATCTTGCTTCCTGTTGCAGAACTAGTAATTGAACCCAGGTGTGCCCAAGTGCCAAAGTCAAGACTCTTCTCATTACACTAAACCATCACAGAGCAAAAGCCATGGGCGAGGGGTTGGAGAGAACAGGAAAGAAAAGACAGAGATGCTAATGGGGAAAAAGCAAAAACAAAGCTGAAAGGGTAAGGGTAACGCATTTCTCTGCATGAGGCTCCCTTCTGTCTTGTTTTTGTTTTTCCATTATTCATTAACCTATGTAGAAACCTAGAGAAGACAGACTTCCAGAATGGCAGAGCGAAAACCTTCATGAACTTATTGTCTCACAAAAATAGTAATACTGGCAAAACTAAAACCAACCATTTAAAAATTCTGATAATTAACTAAAGCCACAGAACAAACTGAAAATTGTCTAAGAAACACTACTGAACCTCAGTAACCCAGTGAGGTCTGTGACATTTTAGCTTGAGGTAATCCCATCTTCCTTCCCTCCCCAGCTCAGCGGCACCACAGCTATGAAAAGTTGACAGCCTAGTAGCCAAGATAGGGGACATTTCTCTTTTAGAACTACATTAAATGTATCACCGCTAGAGCACAGTCAACATTTAAACAAAATAAATGCAACTCCTTCGAAAATCTCTATTTCCAGGGTGCTGTGGGTATTTGATTTGACTCAGAGCTTAGATCACAGGAGGGAGGTAGGGAAGCCCTATCCCCAGGGTGCTACTGAAGCAATAGCAATCTGGTGGCAATACCACAGCTATTTTAGACTATGACTTCAGCTGGGCAAAGACGACTCTGGCCAGGAATTTAAAAGGAAATCTTGGAGAACTAGATGACCATAGGGAACTTTCAAAAGCTCTGACATGATCCTGGGCTTAAAAGGTGACCCAGGAAAGACCTGGGAAAAGAAAAGATCCTATTCACTCACCAGTGGCTGACCTTATAGCTCTGCACAAGCAGGAAGTGAAAGCTAAGGCTGTCATAAACTGCCAGAAGTCTGAAGGCATGCCTTTTCACACAAATGCCCTTAGCAAAGAGTGAAAGACATACAAATAAGGTATTTAAGAAAGTTTTCTAACTGATCATTGGCTTACCACTAAATTATACTGACCCAGGAGTGACCCTAGGAAGCCAGTGTTAAAATTAAAAATTAAAGCAAGAACGTTTAAAGCAAAAAAGCTACCAGAGACCTTTGTGACCATACACTAGAAGGAATACTGAGTCTACAGCATTAGTCCAGGAAACTTACTAAAGAAATAGATAGCAACAAGAAAAACAACAGTAAAAACATATCTGACACCACAGTCGTTATAATATATTATTCAACTATACAGTTTTCAATAACAAAAAATATGAGACCTGTAAGAAAACAGGAAAGTATGCTACATACAAGGGAAAGAAGCAGCCAACAGAAAATGTCCCTGAGAAAGCCCAAATTTTGCACTGAGTAGACACAGACTTTAATCAACTACTTTATATATGTTCAATGAACTAAGGGAAAGCCTGTCTAGAGAATTAAAGAAAAGCATGAAAATGATGTTGTACCATACAGAGAACATCAATAAAGAGAAACTATAAAAATACAACTTGCTTTAAAAGTTTTGGAGTTGAAAAGTGAAAAAACCAACATGAACAGTCCCTTGGAGGGCCTCAACAACAGATCTGAACTGGCAGAAGAAATAATCAGTGAACTTGAAGACAGGTCGGTGGAGATTATTTAGTTGGAGGAGCAAGCTGAATAAGAGCGAGAGAAAGGAGCAGAAAAAATATTTGAAGAATTAATGGTCAAAAACTTTCTAAATTTTATTAAAAATATTAATCCACACATCCAAGAAGCTCAATGAACTCCAGTAGAACATACTCAAGGAGAGCCACACCTACATACATCACAGTCAAACTGATGAAAATCAAAGACAAAGAGAGAAATCTTGAAAGTACTAAGAGAAAAATGAGTTATTATGTACAAATTATCCTCAATAAGATTATAACAGCATTCTTTTAACCAGAAATGGTAAAAACAGTGGGATGACATCTCAAAGTGTTGGGGAAAAAAATGTAAACCAAGAATTCTATATCCAGTTGAACTCTTTTAAAAAATAAGGAGAAATGAAGACATTCTCAAATAAACAAAGACAGAGAAGGTATTCGTAGCAGCTCTATCCTACAAGAAATACGAAAGGGAGTCCTTCAAGCAAAAAGGTATCATAGATGGTAATTTGAATCCACATGAAGAAGTAAAAAACACTGGTAAATGTGACTATATAGAAAAATATAAAGGATTATAAATGTGTTCTTGTTTGTAATCCTTTTATCCTATTTTAAAAGACAACAGCATAAAGCAATAGTTATAGAACTGTCTTGATAGG